GTCGCAGTGTGATGGCCGGACCGCGAGGCCCTGACTGCGTGTCCCTCCTGCTCCAGCGGCCTCGGCCCAAGGCGCAGCTCCTCCACATCTTCGGCATCGTGCTCTACCAGGAGATCTACAGCACCGCGGCCCTGTTACCCTCGGGGGAGACCATAGGCGGCGGCCCCGAACACGTCTCTGTGATAAACTACATTCCCGGGAGAACTTTCTCGTTAGGTCCCGTCGTCGGTTGTGAAGAATGCGAAGAAAACTGTGAACGTGAGAATATAGTGGAATATTAGGATTATTTTATACTCTTTTTTCTGTGCGAGAGTGAAGTGCCAAACGATTGCGTAGGTGAGTTGCCATTTTTGTTGCAACAGCTCAAGTGAAGGATTATTATGTCGAAGGCGATACCGAAGGTGCAGACCCCTGTGGCCGATGGGCGGCAGACGTGTAGCCACCCCGAGGGAGGCGGCGAGGGCTGCGAGGGCTTCTCGGGCGACTCGGGGGTGGGCGAACCCGACAGCGAGCCCCCCGCTATACACTCCGACGGGGGGAAGACCCAGTCCGAAGGGGTAAAGGTCCTCCCCGAAGGAGGGAAGGCCCCGCCCGACGCCAAGGAGAAGAGCCCGTCTCAGGAAGGCTCGACGGCCGAGAATGGCCCGCAGAAGACCGTCGAGGCGGACAAACAAGGCCGCCCAGGCACGCTGTCGCCCCCGTGCCCCGCCGTAGCCAGCGACCAGGAAGCGTCAGCCATGACAGACTCATCGGAGGGAGGGGGCGCCCCGTCGCGTGACAGTGGCATCAGTCACATGAATGTGGCGAGTAACGGTGAGTTGGAGGATGAGTCGGCGAGGCGAAGGAGCCTGATGATCGACACCTGCACGCAGACGGACCACGATCTCGGCTGCCAGGCTGAGCGGGAGAAAGCAGTCGGTCGGACGGTCGAAAGTTCAAGTGATAAGGGTGAGAATGCGCGTGAGAGTGACTTAGGCATAAGTGCTGTGTGTGTGTGCACAGATGCAAATGACAATAAGGAGGGTAAAACGCATTGCGATGTGTGCGGATTGTATAGCAGAACGAGACAGGAAACGTCCGACAGCTTGGGTGCACGCCAAGAGGAAACCTCCAACAGTGCGCTCCAGAACAGACAGAGTCGTTGCACATCCGACTACTCATCCATTTCCTCGAGCGATTCTCCGCGAGCGAGCGACTCGAGTAACAGGACGTGTGACTCGAGCAATAGCCCGGGGAGCAGCACGGGGAGCAGCGGCAAGGGCGGAGGCAGCAACAGAAGATCTGGCCACAGGAAAGTCGTGACTTCGGGCGAGCTGAGCCCCATCGCGTCCTGCGGAGGGGAGTCGGCGGTGAACGTGGGCCTGAGCGTCAACACGGGCCTGACGCCGGAGGACGCCTCGAAGGACGTGGGCAGCCGCAGCCCTTGCACCCCGACCAGCGGCTGCCTGAAGGGGGCGACGCGCAACACGAGCGGCGCTCACGTGCAATTCGAGACGCCGTGTGACGAGGACGGACACATGCTGCAGGACACCTACGTCACTTCCGACGGACACGTGGAGCTGCAGAGGCCCAACGGCGGCAGCGGCGGGAGCGGGACTCCCACCCACGCCGACCCGCTGGCGAGGCTGTGGTCGAAGCTCATCCCGGACTCCTCCCCGTCGGACGCCGCCTCGAGCTTCACCGTGCCCAAGAAGTGGCGCCGGAGGCACATCTCCAGCTCGAGCAGCATCAGCCTGGGGTCGAGCTCGAGCGCCTCCAGCTCGGACGGCGCCACGGAGTTCGAGCGGCGCGCCCCCGACGGCGGCTGGGGCTGGGTCATCGTGGCGGCCTCCTTCATGGTCCACTGCATCGCCGACGGCGTCACCATGTCCTTCGGCGTGCTCTTCGTCGAGTTGCTCAGCTACTTCCAGGAGGGAAAGTCCTTGACCTCGTGGGTGGGCAGTCTGTTCATGGCCATCCCCCTCCTGGCGGGGCCCCTGGCGTCTATTCTCACCGACCGCTACGGCTGTAGGACGGTGACAATCTGCGGTGCTGTTGTTGCTTGTTTCGGATTCTTTATCAGTGCCTTTGTAAACACAATTCCGCTGTTGTTATTGACTGTGGGTGTCATCACCGGCCTCGGTCTGGCAGTGTGCTACGTCGCTGCCATCGTTATTGTTGCCTTTTATTTCGAGAAAAAACGGTCATTGGCGACGGGCATCGCCGTTGCCGGCAGTGGCATCGGAACCTTCTTGTTCGCGCCCTTGATCCAGTACCTGGTCGACTACTGGGGCTGGAGACTCTGCTTCGTCCTGCTGGCCGGCATCTTCCTCAACATGGTCGTCTGCGGGGCGCTAATGCGGGACCTGAAGTGGACGCCGAAGCAGAGCAACCGCTCCGGCATCGCCTCCGGGACGGCCGCCAGCAGCCGCAAGGACTCCACCTCACAGTCCTCGGACACCGTGGGGATGCGCGGCGGGGGCAGCGTGGGCGCCACCCTCCCGTCGCTCGACGAGCTTCG